TGGTAAGGAATTAAGAATTTGCCACAATGATTTTCTAATCCCTAAATCTTTGCAACCCGATGTCGTGTAGACTTTAGATATTTCTAATTACGTATTAGATCAACTAATTTAAGTTTGAAATATGAAAGATTTACATGTTTACAGGTTGCAAAATATAGGGATCAGAAAATTTGGGTTTGTGACAAAAACTCAATTTCTATGTTTATTAAATAAAAATCCTTGATGTCTCCAATATAAAATGCTTTTTTTGCTGAGATATTAAGAAGTAAAAATATATTTTGCTTACTATTGTAACCAAATAAGGTTGCTTTTACCTATACTTGTCAGTAAAATCTAAACAAGAAGAGCTACAAGGTTACAAAGTGGAACTAGTAATATCGCATAAATTTTACCCTATCTAGCTGTCAACTAGAGTATGTGACGTGTTGCTCTTTTTGCAAATCATAGACAAGGATCTTTTATTTTTTCATTTTTACAGGAGTTTACTGTAGTTTTATACTGTATATATTGTACATTATGTGTGTTTTAATGGAACTGCCGGCGTAATTTCAAATGATCCTGTAAACAATATGTTTACATTATGTTTACAATGTGTTTTTTAAAACTGTTGAAAATTGATTGTTTTGGTTGTGGTTCTTCTACTGAAGGGACCTAACTTTTACTTCAAAATTTAAAAAAATTTAAGCCGGGTACATTTGAAAATCTTGTAGGAATCAATTAAAACTCTCTGATTAAAACTTAAGCGAAATTTGATTTCAAACAAAATCTTTAAAATGTGCCAAATTTATCAAGAACAATAACTTTTTAGAAAATATAATGACTTTTCGAATTTTTTTATTTTTATTTACAATTTTCTCAAATCAGATTTTATGAATTTAGCGAAACATTTAGTTCAACCCTCTTGATTAAATCTGATCTCAGGATATTTTCAATCTATATTATTTTTTTAAAATTTTAAAAATTAACGAAAAAATCAAACTTAAATGAATTTGCTGTATTTCAGTTCCTTTGAATAAAAGTTGAATTCGATAAAAAAATGGTTTCACTTGATTGCATTGAAGCACGATATATTTTATATATATTAATTCCGCAATGATCTGATTGATACTGATTTCCAGAGCAGCATATTAGATATACCCCCCCCCCCGGACACACACACAGGCACCTCCAAAACAACTCCCGGAACCATCCCCCCCCCCATACATCGTATTCACGGATTACTGGTTTTTAAAAACAACAAAAAATCATTATTCAAAACACTGATTATAGTGTTAAACGTCAAGAGGGGGTGGGGGCGTTAACAGGTTTGCAAAAAGTTTTAAAATAATACTTATTTTACTATTTTACTATTTTAGTTTCAAGTAACCCTCCAATCTCTTATTCAAGAATGTCAAACCATTATCTTAGTTACAACAAGTAACCACGTCAACCTAAATTAATTTTCTCACTGTAAAACAAGGATATATCCATCATTTTTTCATTTATCTATGTAATAATTTTGGTAAATTTCTACAGGACTGAGTTAGAATAAAAATATATCGAAATTAACCCGAGTTTTCTATCTGCAAGAGTGAAAACAATTAAAAGTTACAGGTTTACAGTTGCCGAAAAGGAGTGAACTCCTGAAAATATGACAAATAAGTTTACAATAAAGTATAAAAATGATGGGGATAGGGGCATTGTTGTCATCTCCTCCTGAAGTTAGCATAATGTATCACTTGATGGGTTCAATTTATATAATTGTATAATTTATATTAGATTTGGCAGTAAAACCATATATTGAGATATGACCTTCGGCATCAGTACTAGCGGCCTTTAACATTGTCAAAATATCAAAACTGTGGAACAAAAACATTAAACAAATATTTTCTAATTTAATTTCCAAGGCACAAACCATTAGTTTTTGCTTCCCCCCCCCCACCCTCTCTTAATACAAATTGCTAATTTTGCTTAGCATAGCACAGACTTTAATTATGTCTTAAATTAATCTTAATTTGAAAATTATCTATTTAAAAACAAGTTTATGATTATTATTCGAATATTTTTAAAATCATTTACATTACGCAATATTTACATTTTGTGTTTTTTTTGTTTTTATTATGAAAAAACGACGACGAAAAATGTAACTCAATTTTTTCATTAAACTGGTGAGATGTTTAGGAACATATTTCTCATGATTTTCTTATTCTTTATGAATTTGTTCGCAGATTTCTCCAAGTGCTTCAAATGTCGTCTTTTCATTAAAAACTTCAGAAAATCCACAGAAAATGGTTTTGAACATTGAAACATTACACACCAAAAACTGAACAAGATTACAAGATTACTTATTTTCGAAGATAAGATTTTATTTTTATATTCTCTCCACCTGTTCCTAAACAATTAATTAGTTTACTGCAGAATTTTTTTTTACATTTTTCATTGTCGTTATTCAATAATTTAAATAAAACCGATTCTCAAAATCACCCCTCTAAATAAATGGACAATCTATGAGGATTTTAATGATGCATTTGCACTCTTGCTGAGCAAATATGCACCATAAAAACGTCTGAAAGGTCTCAAATGAATCTTCAAAAAATTCTCAATAATACTGCAATCTCAGTTCAAATACCATACATTTAACGCAATCAAATGCAAAAAAAAATAATAAATAGGATCGATAACTGGTTTAAATTACGAATAATGTTCGATAATTATCATTCACTATAAATGACCAATGCACCAATTTACAAACTTAAATAAAATTATTATTTTTATCAGAGGCCGAATTTAAAGAATTTGAGCCGCGGCTTAAATTTGGTTGGTTCCACTTAAAATTGTATTTAATGTTTTAAGATTTAAGCCGGTGCTCAATTGAAACCGGTTTTGAGTGGATTTATGACGCGACTCAAATTCATTAATTTCGGACACAGTTTGCTTTTCTTTGAATAATCGGATTTAGTAACAAATCATGATTAGAAAAAAAGATTTAGGAACAATAACATTTGTACAGAAACTTTTTTATTTTGCACATTTGGCTTGCGATTCAAAATAGGAAAGAACTGAAAAAGGGTTTAAAGGTCTAGAAAGTAATAAATAAGGACCATTCTGAATCCATTTTTAAATATTCTAAATTTAGGCTTTGGAAAATAAAGATAATGAAAAAATGTGAATAACATAAACTAAAACGCTGGATTCAAATTTACAACATACAAGATTTAAAAAATATAATTAAGAATTCGGAACTTTAGAAATTTTAAATATCGCCCACATCAATAATCAAGGCATCTCTAATTATAAACTCATTATAATTTTTATTTTCAGAATAGAACGTATGCAGACCACATTTTGGAAATCCCATGATAAAAGAGCACGTGTTCAGCATTGTACTGAAGTTTATCGGGACAAATACTCGATCGAATATATTTTGAAAAGTTCGGATAATTTTCTTACAGGGTTATCCACAAAGTACGAGACTGTAAAGACGACTTTTAACTCTTCAAATATGACAGTCCCAGGTTTAAATTACGTCTTTTGTTTTACACGTAATCTTTCAAAAACTTATTTAACGAATTTGGGAAGAAAGAAACAAGTTTAGAGTTGCAGGGAATCATTAATATAAGGAAACAAAGTATAAAATTCCGTACAGTCTTCTCTGAAGTCTCATCCTCTAAGGGTAACTCTGTTCAACCCATTTCACTTAATCAGTTTTTTTTCAAGCCACTTTGAAAAACTTGTTGGCTTTTAAAATCAAAATGTCGTTTTCCTATTCCAGGCTTTAAAGGCTCACTATGCAAGTTACAACAAATTGAGATTTACACTTTAGAAACTCCAAGAACAAAGTAGTTTACTGCAGTTTATTTGAGTACTGTAGAGATCCCAAACTAAGAATCCGTAAGAGATGGAAGGATAAAATCCGGGAAGGATGAAAAGAGAATCCAGGAGCCAGTCTGATCAGAACCAGGAACAAGAGAAGATCTTCAAGCTTAATTCTCAACATTTTTATAGAATCTGTAATATATTTATATCCTAAAAATATCAGTAAATATATAATCTTCACAGTACCCAAATGGACCTTAGAGACGAATATACGAGATTTAGACATATATGCATGGTTTCCTGCAGTTGCAAGCTAATCTCTTATTGTGTCAAATCAATTAATTTTTCAAAGTATAATACCTTTGTGGGTAACCCTGTAAAATACCTTTGTGGGTAACCTTGTATAATACCTTTGTGGGTAACCCTGTATATAACACCTTTGTGGGTAACCCTGTAGAATACCTTTGTGGGTAACCTTGTATAATACCTTTGTGGATAACCTTGTATAATAAGAATACCTTTGTGGGTAACCTTGTAGAATACCTTTGTGGGTAACCTTGTAGAATACCTTTGTAGTTGACCTTGTAGAATAATACCTTTGTGGGTAACCTTGTAGAATACCTTTGTGGGTAACCTTGTAGAATACCTTTTTAGTTGACCTTGTAGAATACCTTTGTAGTTGACCTTGTAGAATACTTTTGTGGGTAACCTTGTAGAATACCTTTGTAGTTGACCTTGTAGAATACCTTTGTGGATAACCTTGTAGAATACCTTTGTAGTTGACCTTGTAGAATACCTTTGTGGGTAACCTTGTAGAATACCTTTGTGGATAACCTTGTAGAATACCTTTGTGGGTAACCCTGTAGAATACTTTTGTGGGTAACCTTGTAGAATACTTTTGTGGGTAACCTTGTAGAATACTTTTGTGGATAACCTTGTAGAATACCTTTGTGGATAACCCTGTAGAATACCTTTGTGGGTAACCTTGTAGAATAATACCTTTGTGGGTAACCCTGTAGAATACTTTTGTGGGTAACCTTGTAGAATACTTTTTTGGGTAACCCTGTAGAATACCTTTGTGGGTAACCCTGTATATAACACCTTTGTGGGTAACCCTTTAAAACTATCTTTTTAGAAGTTGAGAAAAATGGATATTTTGGAAGAATTAATTATTTTCATACAACATATGTATGTATTTATATTCAACTTAACACAAAAAAATAAAACAGCCTCTTCATCATGGATACGTTTCATTATATTAAATACATTGTAATGTGTGCATTCTTTAAATTTCGTCTTTCATATAATTGCCAGCCCATAAACAATTGCAATTGGACGGAATCGGTGAGATTTAATATTTTATTTTTTTCCTCCCCACGCTGAGAACATGGCCTGGTTGGTCAGATATATCTAAAAATAGGAATATGTTAAAGGGTCAGATGAATTTAAAAATAGGAAAAATTTAAAGGGAGTGTTCGCGAAAAATGAAAGGGGGTATAGGCTTAATGCGATTAAAAAAAGCGCTTTTGATCGCTACTAAATCTTATACTTCTATCTGTTGCGTCCATAAGGAGAAAATTGTTAAAGACGTCTCATACCGAATAACTTAGCGTCCATACAAATTCAAAAAATTGCAACTTACGACTTAGACCGTAAAAAATCAATTTAATTTCAAACAAATCATTCAGATAAATTACAACCTTTAGTCATCGATTATTTTTTGTATATAGTTTATATTTTATAATATTTTTTAAACAACATTTAAACCCATTTACCAACGGTCATGTTTCGTGGAACACACTCAAATTGTTTTTAAAATTGAAATATTTTAGAATGTGAATATTAAAAATTATTTATTACCGGACCCTTGTTCTTGGGTTCCCCTGAACTCAGATCTGATGATTCTCTTCTTCTTTGTAAATCAATGTATCTAAACAGTAACTTCAATAAAGTCGTCTTCGTTTATATCAATACAATGAAGACGACTTTCTATTTCAATTTAGATTTTTATTAAACTTTCTATCAGCATGGATACGCATAATCATTGAATCAAAGAGAAACTTTCAATCAATAGCTAAGCTTTGTTTGCTTGTGTTTGACAAAAGTATGTTAAAAATCAAAACTTAAAAAGAAAAGTCGTCTTCATTGTATTGATATAACCGCCGACCACTGTAACTAGACTGGATAACATTCCGTTACAATATTTTTCAGGATTTGAGATTTTGTATTTTTTTCATCCTCCCTTACCCCCCCCCCCCTTCTCCCATTGAGCCTAAATTAGGGACTCAAATGATTTTTATCTATTTCAAAATAGGCATGACACCTCATGATTCGGAATAAGCAATACAACAATCAGAAAACTCTGGAATAGGAAGACGACTTTTAGACTCAAGAGACAGCAATTGTGCAGTGTCCACAGACCATTTTACTTTATACTTGACTATTAAGTTACTAGTAAAACGATTAGCTTTCTTATCAAAAACACTTAGAATATTTCACAGTTTCTGGTTTTCATTGTAGGTTGGAATTTTATATCGAAAAATTCGATCGTGGGTTTTCTAATGAAATTATAAAACTTTTATTTGTCGCTAAAGTGTTTAGTGAATAGATAGATTTTAGAGAAATAAACACGGGAGCCTGAAAAAAGTGATAAAATCAAGGTCATTGAAATATGTCATTTTTCGCAGGCATTCATGCACATATACTTATCGGATAAATTAAATTTATATTTTTTAAAATACTTTTCACTTTACCTTTTGCCCATACTTTGCTGTAATCCGAGGTATTTGAGAATATCTAGAAAAAAACTTAATTTCTAGTAAATTGATTTCTAATTTCAAAATCTCAATTAATAAGAACAGTTAGAACCCATAAAACAGTGGAATAAGAAGACGGCCGTTTGAAATCACATAGTTCAATGAATACGCAAAAAAGCAATTGTTATAGCGTAAGCTCAATAAGTTGATATTTAGCTTTATGAACAAAACATAAGATTGCTTTAACGTCGTCTTTCTATTCCATGGTTTTATGGGTCTCGTGAATAATATTTTTAAATGATTTTAAAACTCCTAAACTGCAGATTTACACATAAGATTGAGACTGTAAAGACGACTTAAAATTCTTTAGATTTGACGATGCCAAGGTTAAATTAAGTCTTTTGCCTTGGTTGTGGTTTTTAAACCTCTTATTTCATGATTTGGCAAAGAAAAAAAGAAATTTAGTATAGTTGGAGGGAATCAAGGGAATCATGAATATAAGGAAACAAGACATGCAGTACAGGCGTCTCTGAAGTCTCATCCTTTGTGGGTAACCCTGTACCTTGATCAAAGAGGCTTCTGATTCTTTTCTTTTTATTCTCATACTTGTCTGCCAACCCTTTCAAGGATATTTCCTGAGTCTTGAATCCAGGATTCAAGAATAGATTCTGAACCCTGAATCCAGGATTCAAGACCCGTCCTTCCTTCTTGTCCTGCACTGGAACTGCCAACATTATCTCCTTGCTCATCATCTTTTTCATTTTCAGAGCAGTCTTCATCCCCCATCCATCACTTCTCTTCTTTGGGGCCACAACTCTTTTAAAATTATTTTACATTTATAACTAGAGTCTATCTGTGCTAATAACTTTTAAATGTATTAAATGGTGTATCAAAAAATCTTATCAAAAATGGTGGAAAGGAATCGAGTTTTTGACTCACAATTAAATGTCATAATCCCCATATCTTTGCAACCTGATGGTAAAATCCTATGATTCGATAGTAGTGTACGCAAAAAAATAAAAGGAGGTATAGGCTTCCGTCGAAAAATTATCAATGGTAATGGCTACTAATCTTGCTTCCATCTGTTGCGTCTATAAGGAGTAAATTGTTAAAAACAACTCATACCGAAGAAGGTAGCGTCTATAAAAAATTCAGAACGTTGCAACATTCGACTCGGATCAAAAATAAAATCAATTTAATTCCAAACAAATCATTCAGGTATTACAACCTTTAATCATCGATTTTTTTCAACGCATTTGTATATACCCCCGTTCATTTTTCGCGAACACTCCCTTTAAGACGTTATTATAAGTGACCCTCTGATTAAATAATGACATGTCCGATTGTGCAATAGAAATTGACTTGCGGATTTATGCATCAGAGACAAGAAAGGAAATCAAGTGAATTTACCTCTTTACAGAAATAAGACGACATATTTCTAATTGTTTATATAAAAGGGATGAAAAGGGTACCGGATGTGAATTGAAAGCTTTAAATGAAAGATCTCTTAAACTTCTGAATTAACACTATTCTTACTGACGTCTCCTCCATGTCCAAAATAGGGGGGGGGGGTTGACCCTTTTTCCCTATCGTGATATTAATCTATAACATTTCGGAAATAACAGGGTCAAGGTAATTTTATAATTGTTGTACCTGAACCCTCTGGTCTCTCCTTGTATTTCTTCCATTGCTAATCCAGTGACTCCTTCTGCTTCTCGGCCTCCTGCTCCTAGTCCTCCTTCTCGGCCTCCTGCTCCTAGTCCTCCTTCTCGGCCTCCTGCTCCTAGTCCTCCTACTCGGCCTCCTGCTCCTAGTCCTTCTACTCGGCCTCCTGCTCCTAGGCCTCCTTCTCGGCCTCCTGCTCCTAGTCCTTCTAGCTGTCCCTGTCCTGTTCTACCCTTGGAGAATCCTGCGCTTTGTAAACCTCCTTCTTCACAACATTCTGGGATCTTCATAGCAAAACAACATCTGAAAAAATGGTAGTTTTTTCTAAACAACGGTTTCCTAAGAATCATGATGTTGAGACACAACTTTAAGGTTGTCTTTGGTCCTGTTTGAAAACTACAGCATTTATTTTTCAATTGGAAATGTCAGGATTCCGGGTATTTTGCGATTACAGCTAACAGATTCGTGAAACGTTTTCTAATAGTGATTTAGCAGCGACTTCCCAGGCAACCGAGGCGAAGAAGTCTCAGCTAAAAAATGTTTAACGAATCCAAACATTATTTCAAGATTCATTATTGTAAAAGTAGCAGGTTGACAAAATAATGCCGCAAAATGTCCCGAAGATAAAAGACTATCTTTGAGTGACATCTCTAACTTTCATGTTTTGTCAGAATCAAATTTACTGAATTTTTAATGGATATCGAGATCAATTTCGTTGTAGATCAGGCCTATCTCATACTAAAAGTTCAACCTCTTTTCACGACCCTGTCCACAGCTGGTCACACTCACTCACAAAGGATGAGAGTGGAAAGACGACTTTAAAATCTTAAAATATGCCAATCTTAGGTTTAAAATAAGTTTCGTCTTGAAGTGGTCTTTAAACGGATTTTTTAAAGATTTTGCAAAGTAATAAAGAAGTTTACAGTTACAGGGAATAATAAGTGTAAGCAAACAGAAAGTATAATTCAGCACATTATAATCCATGTACAAGCAAGGACCAAAGACGACAATTACTCATCTCTGTACCTTAACTGATTTGTAGGCTCAGAACGTGATGAGGCGATTGGTTCATTAGGATATCCGACTATAGACTAAACAAAATAGGAGATGAGTTCAATAGGATATCCAACAATAAAATAAACACAATAGTAGATTAGTTCATTAGGATATCCAGCAATAGAATAAACACTATAGGAGATGTGTTCATTAGGATATCCAACAATAGACTAAACAAAATAGTAGATTAGTTCATTAGGATATTCAAGAATAGACATAAACACTATAGGAGATGAGTTCAATAGGATATCCAACAATAGACTAAACACAATAGGAGATGAGTTCAATAGGATATCCAACAATAGACTAAATAAAATAGGAGATTATATCAAAAGGATATTCAATCCTATTGAACTAATCTCCTATTTTGTTTAGTCTATTGTTGGATATCCTAATGAATTATTTTGTTTAGGACAAGAAATTATTGTAGGACTGAAACATACCTTTTTGAATAAAACAAGTCCTACTACTAGACTAGGAGTGACAAGTAAAGGACTGAAACATACCTTTTTGAATAGGACAAGTCATAATGCTAGATTAGGACAAGTAATTACTGTAGGACTGAAGCATATCTTTATGAATAGGACAAGTCCTAATGCTAGATTAGGACAAGAATTTATTGTTGGACTGAAACATACCTTTTTAAATAAGACAAGTTCTACTACTAGACTAGGACAAGAAATTATTGTAGGACTGAAACATACCTTTATGAATAGGACAAGTCCTAATGCTAGATTAGGACAAGAAATTATTGTAGGATCAAAATATATCTGTATAAATAGGGCGAACATTCCTGCACTAAAGGAAAAGGACAAAGACTAGGTATTTTAAAAACTAGGACTAAAATCTGTAAAAATATGTAAAATATGACATGCTCTAACTAGACTAGGACAAGATATTATCTAAAACAGGACTAAGAAACAATGACGACATTTAGACTTTTGTCGAGATTTAAATATGCCGAAGATTATGAAACTTCGAAATTGTTCAATTTACCGTGTATGACAGACCCATTTCATTAAATAAAAATATATTTTTTAGCCACTAATAAAACTATTTGTTTTAAAATAACATAAATATATAGGGTTATCCACAAAGGATGAGACTGTAAAGACGCCTTTAACCTCATAATGACGATCCCCTGTCTAAAATAAGCTTACTGCCTTAATGTGGATTTTTTATGGTTCATTTTAAGATTTGACAAGGATATAAAGAAGTTTAAAGTTGCAGGAAATCTTGAATATATAAGGAAACATGTCACAGACAGTATTAACTCCGTATAATCGTCTCTGAAGTCGCATCCTTTATATGTAACCAAGTCGTCTTTTTATTTAACAGTTCTTTGGTTCTCCCTGTATACCTGTATAATGAGGACAAGTAGTCCTACTCTTGGACAAGGGTGAGATATCATAGAACCTAGAAGAAAATATGTCAAAGAACATTAATAAAGAAAAGAAAATGTTACGGAATAAAATTTTTTAAAAATTTTAAGTTTTTATAACAAATTTACTTTTTAAAAAAATAATCAACTGTGCATTCTTCCAGTTCAAAGTATTAAAATATTAAAATCCCTTTTTTTAAGATGGTTCTTTTGATGCCTATCTTGACAGACTATAATCAAACTTCATAACGACCGATGTTTTTCGAAACTTTTTTCGTAAATAATAACTTGAATTGTAGGGATACTAATAAGAATAAATTTAAAAAATTTAAAAAATTAAGTAAAAAACAACAATTTTTCCACTTAATATAATTTTGACAGAATCTAAGAAAACTTTGATACAATATCATAAAGTTGAGATAGAATATGAATCAACAATTGAGATGGATGATGTTGAAACAAGAACAAAATAAATGTAGCATTGAGAAAATAATTGTTAGAATCTACAAATATTTTAAAAGAATTAATGATAATTTTGTTAAAAATTATCAAAGAATTTACGAACTTTTAATTAGAATTCACGAATATTTTGTTATAAATTACAAACAGAAGGTTAGGGTCAGGGATAACCCTAACCTTATTCTAGCAATTTTGATCAAAATATGCGTAATTTCGACATATTTTTTAATTATGATTGCCATAAACCAATTTCAGAATTATTAAATTGAAGAAAATTTACTTAAACCTTTCTCCCAGAGAGTTGAGGAGAAAATGGAATGAATGACAACATATATCAACCTTTATACTGGTGGTGTATTTTTTCGACCTACGCAAATCCGCTATACTCCATTTCTGACCTACACCAAATCCGTTATACTACTCATCCGACCTACTAGCACGTGGTTTTACAGCTGCTATATGGACTTGCGGCCACTGCACCCGACCCCCCAGCCTGTCCTAGCCGCAGCGCTCGGCCCAGAAATTGTCTTAACGTAACCTAACCCTCAAATAATACAAAAATAAACAGCTGGCTTAGGTCCGATATTGCAGTAGGTCGGAAAGTTAGTAGGTCAGAAGTTCAGTTTGGGGGATGTTGCGTATAGACGATGCAACATTACCCCTACACTCCTACACAATATGTCCACTTGAAATTATATTTTAAATCTCACATTCCAAAATTTAATCCTTCAGTTTAATATCTGAAGTCTTATTTAGAACCTTCACTCAAAGGGTTTTATTATTAAGGGATGAAACTTAAATGACGATCCAAAACTCCAGAAACATAACGATCAGATTCTGTATAAAATATTGTTTTTAGAATAAATGGAAGCCTGGCCAAAACTTCAAATAACATCGGAAAGCAGAAAATGGACCGACTACATATTGGACATGTCAAGAGTAGAACTAGATGTATTATATGGTAAAAGTAAAATTACGGTGACGAATGTATGCTGCAAATTATACAAAGATCAATGACGAACTACATGACGAATGTACGCTGCAAATTGTATCAAAGATCAATGACGAACTGAATGACGAATGTACGCTGCAAATTATATCAAAGATCAAAGACAAACTGTATGACGAATGTACGCTGCAAATTGTATCAAAGATCAATGACGAACTGAATGACGAATGTACGCTGCAAATTATATCAAAGAAAAGAGACAAACTGCATGATGAATGCACGCAGCAAATTATATCAAAGATCAGAGACGAACTGCATGACGAATTAACGCTGCAAATTATATCAAAGAAAAACTATATGCCGAATGAACGCTGCAAATTATATCAAAATCGAACTGCATGACGAACGTACGCTGCAAATTACATCAAAGACGGACTGCATGCCGAATGAACGCTGCAAATTATTTAAAATCGAACTGCATGACGAATGTACGCTGCAAATTATATCAAAGATCAAATACGAACTGCATGACGAATGATTTTACTCAGCCCATTTGTAAATTTTATTCAAAACCTATTTTTTAATACTAGACTATCAGAGCACTTTAAACCCTTCTTCTATTTCAACTTTTAATAGTTGCTCAATCTTTCAGCCTTTTCTCTTCGATAAACAATAATAAAAAAAAATTTGCAGATTTACTTTTTTTCGTAGATTTCAAAATTTTACGAACGAATTTTTAACTTTTTCAGCCGTTTTGGCGTGTATTGGATACAAACGGACGAACACACAGACAGACAAGCAAAGTATATAATACTGGCCTTTTAGGGCGCTTCGCGCTCATCTCCTATTTCAATTGTGAACATTTTCTCTTTAGATACATTGGAAAATTAAAACAAAAAAATGTTTGCGGATTTAAAAAAATTTCGTGGATTTTCAAAATTTAATGACAATCAAATTTAGTTGGAGGCAAAACCTTTGTGGTGGCATGTTAATTGTCTTGCAAAAAAATTGTGTCCGAACGGTTCAGCCGTTTTGACGTTTATTGAATAAAAACAAACAGAGAAACACCCAGACGTTCACAAAGACAAGCAAAGTATATTTATAGATGACCTTGACATTGCGAAATTCGAAGGTCGGCTAAAAAAGACTTCTACAGCACAAACTGTTATTCATAGACTTTTAACTTTAATTTCAACTTTTGTTTTAACACCCGTTAAGCTTTTTTGTAATCATTTATTTTTTAAAGAGAAATGAACAAATCAACAATAAAAATACAGCACAAATCTTTTTTAGATGTATACCAAAGAGTCTAGAATTTCGTATTCAGAACTTAAGTGGAAAAAATACCACACTTAAGTCCGGAAAACGAAACTTAAACTTCGATTGGTTTAAACGTCAATTTTGGAAATTTCTAAAAAAGTTAAATATAAAATGTAAAACGAATTTAACGGGTAAAAGTAAATAACAAAGTCAAAATACAAAAATTATTCAATTTTTTTTTTACATTGGTTGTCGTAATTACAATACAATTATAATGACATTTTAGAAGTAGCTGTATAGACAAAAACCTGGATTGTACTTAACCCTATTTAGCCTGACGTCTGGTTTAATGACTGGATGACTGGCTGCCTCGGGGGGGGCCCCCCCCCTCTAATTTCTTATTGTTATACAAATCTATAACATTGGATACGTTTTTAGAAAGCCCTTGGGCTCTACTTTAATAATCTGCAATATAATGGCAAATTCTCAAAAAACCCAAATATTTATTGCGAAATCTAGTTATTAAAAATTTGCAAAAAAAAATTCAGCGAATGCAACAAATTATACATTCTTGAAAAGACATTGACCCAGCAATTGAAAATGTGCAAAAATTTGCAAAATTATTAAAACCAAAATGTTTATCCAAGAAAAACCTAAAAAAGTGCAAATTCTCTTAAAAGGCGTCTGTGCAAAAATCTGTGCAAAATTTCTTTAAAAATTTGTACAACTCTAATCTTCAAAACCCAAGGTCTTTCCAACCTTTAATTTTTCAAACTTATTTGACTTGACTGAATTCTTGGTTTGAAATATTAAAGGTTTTCAACATCAGGTTGCAAAGATATTGAGATTATAAAATTAGCTTTCGGTTTCTTTGTCAAAAATAGTCCAAACATTACTATTTACAATGTTTAATAATAATGGGCCATCTTTTTCTGTATTTTAATCCAGTGCTCAAGGGACTGCTTTGACTCGAGCTTGTCGTTGAGTTTCCTTCTGTCCAACATGTCACTCAGGACCTCCCACAGACAGCTGCCCTGCTCATACAAGTAGAAGATTAAAGGGACTGTACATTGTTATTGATTATGTGTTTAATTCTGATACTATTTTTAAAGCAGAAATCCGAAAATTATCAATATATATTCAGTTCAAATCTCTGTTTTGGTGTCTGTTTGTTTGTCCGTCATAACTCAGAAACCCGAGGACCGATTTGCCTCAAACTTTGTTAGGGAACTTGGGAGACCTACGATAATGTTCTTAGCTTGGTTTGAAGATTCTAAGTTGGTCAACTTTATTATAGCGAAAATTTAGTTTCCCGGTAAAGTCGTTCAAGTGCGGGAGTAACTTTTAGTAATCTTGGCAGCGCCGGGTTCCCAAGCTAGTTTAAATAAAAAACCTGCAGTTGTAAATAATCCATTTTTAAGTTTAAACATACTCTCATAATATTTTAATCATTCCAAGCTGTAACATGCCACTCTATAAATGGAGGCTACATTAGTCCCCCCGTCTACTGCAGTTCATTAAATAAAAAAAATCTGAAATGCAATCTTTGATTAAGAAGTTGCTTGAAATTAACTTACCTTTGGAAAATCGTTGTCCACTAGATTAACCAGATAATACGTGTTCGAAATATCTTCGATTATTTTCCTAAACAGTTTTAGATACAGTGAGGACTAGAACATTGTGAAATAAGAAAACAGCATTACGACATTATTAAGGTGTATTTGATGTTGTTACAGCGTAAGAAGACAGCATTTCAACATTATTAAGGTGTATTTGATGTGGTTACAGCATAAGAAGACAGCATTACAACATTATTAAGGTGATTTGATGTGGTTACGGTATAAGAAGACAGCATTATCATTATTAAGGTGTATTTGATGTGGTTACAGCATAAGAAGACAGCATTACATTATTAAGGTGTATTTGATGTGGTTACAGCATAAGAAGACAGCATTACAACATTATTAAGGTGTATTTTTTCCGAAATAGTCTGTGAACACTGCACATCTGATTCATGTATATCAGAAGTGAGGACTATTTAAATCAAAACTTGTCAGATTATTTCATAGTTTTATGGTTCTCTCTGTAAAAATCTGATTAAGTTCGAAATAATTTATTTTTTAAATATTTTTTAGTATGAGGAATAATGCATGTAGAAAAATAGAGTTCACATGATAGCTCTAAAATAAGATGTATTTCATATTTAGACTCCTCTAAACATTAAAAACTATTAAATCCTTTATTGTTTAAAATATTAAAAACAAATTTTCCTCCAAATATCTAAAATATTTCAATATTTCTGAACTATAAATGAGAAAGGAATCTACCTAGAATTGGACTCCTCCGAGTATAGCTTCCCCCACTGCTCTGTCCAGAGACCAAAAGCTTCTGTCCTCCACTGATCGAAAGCGATCGGATCAACGATCGTTGGCTGACTAATCTCACGCCCTGGACAAACGAACTGATTACCATATCTTTGCAATCACATGTCGAATAACTTTGATATTTTTACCTAAAACTTTTACTTTCAAATATCAAAGATCTTCACCATCAGGTTGCAAATATAAAGTTAGAAGCGTGTGTTTATTCGTTTAATAAACATATATAAAAAATATTTTCGAAAACTAAATTTTACAAATAGACTTGAACTTTATGCGGCAACGTGAATATTAGGTACAGGGTTACCCACAAAGAATAAGACTTAAATGACGACATAACATCTATGAAATAAAGCAGCTAGAAGGTTGAATTTGGTTTTTGTTATAGCTAACCCTGTATACGAAGCTTAACTAGTGGATATCCCTAAAGAAACAGAACAGGCCTGTATAGACGTATGGGCTGAGTGTTAAGAATAAAGAAATACAATAGCATCACCAGTAATATTAAATTATGTCTTGTCCAATTTATTTTATAAAAATAAATTGTTAAAATTTTTAAAGAAGATTGCAGACACCCACCTGGGAAAACTCCCCAAGTAACAGCAATCGGTTTCTTGTGTTTTATATTTGTAGAGTTCACATCTCCACCCTTGTTCACAACCTAGAATAAATCAATTAGTTCACATGTCCTTTATTTTTTTTTTATTTTTACTGGGGTCCAAAAAAGGATAATCTGGAGGTTACGTCAGGTGTTGTGTTTACCATCAGAAAAAAAGAATTAGTTCACATGTCCTTTATTTTTTTTTTTTTTTTACTGGGGTCCAAAAAAGGATAATCTGGAGGTTACGTCAGGTGTTGTGTTTACCATCAGAAAAAAAGGAAACTTAAAAAATTGACATAATTTTGAAAGTTGACCTCTGAACCTAAAAGTTGACCTTTAGCCGAAAATTAACCTCAGCACCTGAAAGTTTACCTCTGTACCTGAAAATTGACCACTGTTTCTGAAAGTTGACCTCTATTTCTGACAGTTGACCTCTGTACCTGAAAGTTGACATCTGTACCTGAAAGTTGACCTCTGTACCTGAAAGTTGACCTCTGTACCGTTAAGTTGACCTCTGTACTTGAAAGTTGACCTCTATACCAGAAATTTGACCTCTGTACCTGAAAGTTGACCTCTGTACCTGAAAGTTGACCTCTGTACCTTTAAGACGACCTCTGTACTTGAAAGTTGACCTCTATACCAGAAAGTTGACCTCTATACCAGAAAGTTGACCTCTGTACCTGAAAGTTGACCTCTGTACCTGAAAGTTGACCCCTGGGAAGCGCCCTAGGATTTGTAGAAGAGCGAGAACGTTTGCCTCACATGTGAAGAATTCAAGATATGCTTTCTGGAACACATAGCCATTGGAGGGACCCCAACCTAGTCATAAGTGAAGGGATAGTGATTGGTTATAACGTGGTATTTTCTAAAAACTTTTGAAGCTTTGACTTTTTGAAGGTTCAACAAAAATCTGATAAGTTTCACGATTAGCAAAATTGAACATTCTAAACTTTTGCTTTCCTTCCAATCTACGCCAAATTCTTACCTTATGGTAAGATATATGCAAATAAAAAGATTGTTTTTTGTTCGTGTTTTCATAGATTCAAAAAGCAAACTTTGTAAGAATCCAGTTTTGGAACCTTCAACAGTTCAGTATTTACGGGGTGCCTTTTAAATGGATGAAAAGATTTGTGAAACCCTCAATAATAACGAATACATCGAAATAATTCATCAAATGTCGTATTCTTCATTTTCTGATAATGGAATGTTGCAGATATTTATTTTTTTAATTAAATGATTATATGGAACTCTTTAAAACTGTTCCTGCATATTCATGGCTATTTATTTATTTTCGCAAATACTGAAATTTACGTAATATAGTATAAAACTCATTGAAAAATTGTCAAGACGACATTTGATAAATTCTTCCGATGTATTCGTTACTAAGGGTTTCACTGTATATCAATGACGACTTTCAAACCGGAGCTAAAAGGCCAACAATTACAAGTTCTGGAAAGCAGAAAACACGATTTGGCGATAACAATAAAAGATAATGATTTTCAACCTCTTTTCTCCTATTTCATGAAAATAATTTATATTATTTAATACAATTTCTGTTGGGCTATGAATTTGAAAAAATGTACTGAAGTATCTTTTCTAATTACAGATCAATAATTAGCCGTTATATGATTGAAAGATGTATGAGAGATGAACAAGAAGAAAGAGAAGAAGAAATATAGAAATATCAAAATATTTTCATATCATATAAACATTTAAAAATATTGTAAAGTTTAATTAAAGATAAATTTTTAAAGTTAAAAATTACAGATCAATAACGTTCTCATAAAACATGTCTATCTCTATACACACTTAACAGCCAGTGTCCGAATTAAATGAATTTAAGTCGCGTCTCAGATCCCCCAAAAACCGGTTTCATTTGAGCGCCGGCTTAAATCTTGAAAATTGAATACAATTTTAAGTGGAACCAATCATATTTGAGGCGCGGCTTAAATTTAAGCCGCGCCTCAAATTCTTTAAATTCGGCCTCAGAAATCAGAACTGAGAATCAGTGTGATTCTCAGGATCAAGCATTGATCTTCACCTTAATTAACTCCTCTTCATGCAATATTCCATGAAGATCATGCCCTGCAGGGAAAACTTTAAGTGCGGGATAAAACATTGATCCTCAAATTCAAAAGTGCCAACATTATACAAGATATCGAGATATCGAGATTAACGATACTCCACTCAAAAGATCTGATTTCATGACATATTTATTTATTAATATTATTAAGTGCTTCTAAAAATAAACATTTGGCAATTTTCCACTAGAAAAGATGTACAATATTTGAGCCTTCATTTAAAAATATTGAACATAGAAATATTTGTGTCGAAGGCGGTTTCTTGATAATTTTATAATACATGTTCCAAACCTGGCACTCATCAAACGGTATAAGGTTTTCCATTTTCGCAAAAATCACAAATTTAAATCATGGACGTGTTTTGGCATGTAAACTTTTGTAACGAATTAAAATTGTCAACAATTTAAAACAAATGTACACTTTCATAATTCACAAAATATCCTTTATAATCACAGGACAGTTTTTTTCTGATAGTAATTAGAATAAACTGGAATAAACCGTCGGAAATTTAGAAGTAACTTTTACGCTTGAAGATATCTTAGTGCGCACGAAACAGAAAATAATTTTCACATTTGTAGCTAGTGATTCGTAAACAGATACCAAATTGTGATAACATTTTAATTTATCCCAAATAGATTGTCAAGTACAATAGATGGCAACAGAAAATTCGACCAACTGCGCACAACGTCACAAGTGTCAAATGTAAAAAGAAAGACGACATGTCCTCTAATTAGTTGATATGATTTCCAAGATTCAGCTTAGATAAATGTCGTCTTTGTAGGAATACGTTAAAAAAATATTTACAACTCAAAATTACATACAGTATATTATTGTCGTTTGGTGGCCTGATTCTTTTTTTTCTCTGTATATCTCTGTAACTAAATAGTCTGAGAGGGGGGGGGGTGGCGTCCAGGTGCCAACTCTCTAAGGAAGTAGCATTAGAGTAAATGTTTCTAGGTGTATTATAGGTTTACTGTTCAATTGACAACCTATTTTATTTATCCCCATTATAAAACCCCGTTTATCAAAAAAATAATTTCTTTTTCGATAAGAATCATTTATTTCTCCAATTCAGTAAATAAAAATTTCTGGAGAAAATGAGGATTCTTAAATGGGGAAAAGATTTCCCCCTGGCCTACCTAGAACTGGGTCTGAGCTGAGAACACAGTTGGCTGCTGGCTGGGAGTTTATTGTCAGAATTCCAGCTTTATTCACCTAAAAGAATTCATTTATAGGGACGTACAGGGTGTCCCACATCATCTTAGATCGTCAATGAGTCTAAATTACTATTTTCGGGACTCATCAAAAATTTAAGAAGAATGAATCATTTTGTGAAATGGAATAAAACTTATATAAAATTTTCTTGCAGGAAATTGTAAGTTTTTCGACTACTATGTGTTTATTTTGGCGTTAAAAAGCTTGGAGATAATTCAATATGATATGGGACGCTCTGTGCATGTAAATTAAAGTGACACCTATTAGTACAATGGTATTTCTGATACCCTTTAAACCCTTATCAAGAATGACGTAAATAATAGATTTCCCTATTTGTAAAGCCTAAAATTGAGTTACGGGAGATTTGAGGTTGCAGACTTGGCAGTATACTCCATTTTAGTGTACTGCACTTACAGTGTACACTCCATTTTAGTTTACTGCACTTACAGTGTACACTCCATTTTAGTGTACTGCACTTACAGTGTATACTCCATTTTAGTGTAATGCACTTACAGTGTACACTCCATTTTAGTGTACTGCACTTACAGTGTACACTCCATTTTAGTGTACTGCACTTACAGTGTACACTCCATTTTAGTGTACTGCACTTACAGTGTACACTCCATTTTAGTGTACTGCACTTACGGTTTACACTCCGATTACATACCACAGTATGGTAATTACATGATTATTGCTCAGAGAATCTAAATGTTGAAGGCGAATGAATGCCGCAAATTAATTTAAGAAGAAGGCATGTCTTTCCTTCGTAGTGAAGAAACTGTCATGTTGAGTAGTGGTCACCCTGTACCTTAGCCAGATGTTCTGCGATTAGTCCTGTCTCTTTGTTCAACATATCGTCGTTCCAGGGCGTCTTGTTGATCTTCACCCCATTGCTGTTCTCCTCCCCTGTGATGTACTTCGTGAACACGTCCCACACATCCTAACAAAACAGAGTTGAAAACTTTTAAATCTGGTTTATTTTTAAACGGTTCTGGGAAATTCGAACCAGCTCAGATTTCTCAAGAACCAACAAAAAATATGATTTTAGCCAATGATTAAACTAAAATACTGTATAGAAAAGTAGTAAAACCGGCCGTACCTAGTTCAGCTACTTTTCTCTAACTCATAAATTTCCATCTCAGTTTATTAGGACAAGGGTTTTAATTTATTTAACAGAAAAATAATGTTGTGGAAAACACTAAAAGCATGAATCTCTAATAATGGAAAAATATTAATTTCTTGTGGGAAAAATTAGTTTAATAAGTTTATGCCTGATGGTACTTAANCCACAGCTACAGACTCTGCCTTTAATATAGCGGACGCAAGTTCCAATCATGTGCTTTCATTCAAAAGTAAAAACCTGATACAATGATATCGGGTTTCGACCAAATCATGGTTTGGAACTTTCCCCCCATAATATATCTTTAATTATTTAACCTGTTCCGAGTGAAGTTCCTCTCCCCACATCCTGAGTAGTTCCTGTTTAGGAGACTGCGACGCCAGGAAAAAAAGATAATAGTCCTTTAGTTCACCAAAGGCTGGGGAGTCAGAAGTACCCCATCTTCCGTTGGGAAACTCGTCCCAATGTCTCGTCCTAAGAAGAAATTTCTTTTTAAAAAAAGCATTTTAGTTATTATATTTTATAGAGAAGGCTTACAAGCCACGAAAACCCGCGTTCAAGCCACATTAAACCTAAAAACATCAGGGGTCCATATATTTCCTTTTTCAATCCCATTTGGGATTGACAAATTTGAAAGAAATGGGGGCAAATTTTTTTTAACGATAATTAAAAAAAAATTGGGGGTATTTTTAATTAATTGGGGGCATTTTTTTTAAATTGGGGGCAAATGTGTTAGTGAAAATTGAAAATGTTTTTTTAATTGGGGGCATTTTTTGTAATTGGGGATCCAAAAGATAGGACGTATTCAACTTTACCTATGAACATATGATTTAGACCGGTTTGTCCAAAAGATAGGACGTATTCAACTTTACCTATGAACATATGATTTAGACCGGTTTGTCCAAAAGATAAGACGTATTCAACTTTACCTATGTACATATGATTTAGACCGGTTTGTCCAAAAGATAGGACGTATTTCCTCTTCAGTTCTGGCCGGATCAGCAGACAATCTCCAGGGCAGAGGTTTCTTTAAAAAAAAGTTCAGAAATCATAAAATTTTCAGAAAATTGTTAAATGTTTTTTAAAAAAATGTTAAAAAAGTTTAAAGAATTACTTTTATTTCCGACCACAGTCCGAGATTTTTCAAGATGGCCGTAGTAGACACTTCACGGTTCAATGTGTAGAAATGAATTCCAGGCGCGTAACCAGAATTAAAGAGATCCCTAGACAAAACATATTTGCAATGAATCGTAAAGAAACTTTGGATAAGGTAAACTAAAAGTTCTTTTATGGATAAAAACTCTTGTTTTGTGGATATCAAGATCAATGCTTGATCTCGATATTTTGTTAATCTGCAGATTAATTTAATCTTTATTTGATAATCAGTAATCGTATCCAGGGGTTGAAGGGAGCTTTGATAAGGGATAAGGCATAACTAAAATGAAGATATGGAAAAGTATAACATTTTAAAGATCCTCAGATTAAAAGAGCCCACAGTGGATTACGAGATTAAGCGTTAAAGATTTAAAAGTATCCAACACATATAAGTTTTCCAGCTCAGGTTGAAAAGCTATCAAGGATTTGTGTTCTGTCTGAAAAAAAGTTAAAACACAGAAAAAAGGCATTTTCTTTCTCTACAATTCTAGATCTGTAAAAAATTGCAACAATCATCAGAATATTATTTCCGAATTAAAGGGAGTGACCGGCTAGGTAAGGTAGTTGAACTGAGTGTGCAGTGTTGTGGAAAACTTCTTTCGGATTCATTTGAGACATATTAAACTTTTTAAAGATCTGTAAATCCTCAGTTTGAGCGCAAATTCGATGTTCATAACTTCTACTTTGGGGGTGGATGATACGTTTTCAGAATTAGATTTTTTATTTATTAAATAACATGTAAAAAAGTTCTACAATTAACTATACAGAAAATCTTATCATCGAAAATAAGTAATCTTGTTCAATTATTAGTTTCTATTATCTCATAATTCTGGTTTCTCATTATTCACAAAGATTTTCGCAGATTTTCTAGAATTATTATTGAAAAGACGACATTTGACGAAGTTGAAGAAATCAGCGAATAAATTCAAAGAAAATTAGAAATTCAATATAATAATGAAAACGAAATAATCGATTTGAGCGTTGATTTATTGACAAATTTCTTTTGAGAAATATCTAATTAGATTTCTGTATAATTTTTACTTTATTTTTCGTTGTCGATATTTAATAATTAAAAAAAACTAATTCTGAAAACGTATCCACCCCCAAAGGGGGAGTATTGAACGTCGAATTTGCGCTCAAACTCAGCATTTACAGATCTTTCAACAGTTTAATATGTCTCAAATAAATCCGAAATAAGCTTTCCACAACACTGCATACTCAGTTCAACTAACTTGCATAGCCGGCCTGTCCCTTTAATTGTAATAAAAAGAAATTAACAACAACAAGGATACTGGATATGAAAATTAGTTCGTGCGAGGAATCAGAAAAAATGAATTTAAAAATGTTAATGAAAGCAAAAACGTTTTTTTGGGGGCACAATAAAAGAGAAAATAATTTTTGGGGAGAAATTAGTTTTTTGGGAGCCACTAGAGAAGTTAAAATATTAATTAAAAGAATAATTAAATAATGAAATCAAAAGAAAACCTGATAATTTCAGTGCACTGGTGAATACCAAAGTTTTGAATTGCATCATCATTGTCCTAAACATAAAGTTGAAAGGAACTGTTGACAATGATCTATTTTAAAGGTTAAAGGAATTGTTGACAATAATCTATTTCAAAGTTTAACGGAACTGTTGACAATAATCTATTTTTAAAGTTTAAAGGGACTGGTGACGAAATTTCAACGGACCCTCCATTTAAGAAAAGAATGACACGTCCGATTCACAATGCTACCTTTAAGTACGTAAAATAAGGAAGTTACTTGAAACCTGATGAATATTGACAATTTCCTTTAGTGTCTTAGTAGCATATATTCGCAGAACAATTTTATAGAGAAACCACGATTAAATATAATCATTTTCCGTGAGAAAAAGAAGAATTTCTCATTTTTCTTTAATCAGACAAAGGTTTTTTTGAGTACAGGTGTTTATCGGGCATAGTAAAATATTATTCTGATTATTTTAATAATTATTATTATAATTGCCATGATTAATATTTTGATTATTTAATGTTATTAATATTCACCTTCAGAGGTTCAACAATTTTTCTGATTTCATCTGGAACTGCAAGCTTGGAGAGCTTCACCATGTTCCTAAAAGTTAGGAATTTTTTTTTAAATTTGCAAAATGGAAAAGTGCGCGAAATATGATATTTTATACATTATGAAAAAGCCTTTACCACGGCGAATTAAAATTTAAAAAACTAAATTTGTATTCACGGAAAACTGAAAATATGCAAACTCTCTTCATAGGCATCTGTGCAAAAATCTATGCAAAATTTCTTCGCAAAAATTGTGCAATATGCTTCCTTTTGTTATAGGCTTTCCAAAGAGCTGAAAAAGTCGAAATCCAATGACCGGAAGATAGGTTAAATATAGATTTAGTCGGGTAAAGGTAAATGAGGCATTCAAGCATGATTATGCCTAAGGACTCAGAAAGTAAGTATAAAATTTCTTTAATATATTCCACTTGTAACAATATTTCCTTATTAAGAAGCCTTTACCACGGCAAATTAAAATTTAAAAACTAAATTTGTATTCACGAAAAACTGAAAATATGCAAACTCTCTTAATAGGCATCTGTGAAAAAAGTATGCAAAATTTCTTCGCAAAAATTGTGCAATATGCTTCCTTTTGATATAGGCTTTCCAAAGAGCTGAAAAAAGTCGAAATCCAATGACTGGAAGTAGGTCTAAATATAGACTTAGTCGGGTAAGGTAAATCAGGCATTCAGGCATTATGCCTGAGGACTCAGAAAGTTAGTTTAAAAGCCCCGCTTTGAGCCTTATGTGAGGAGCATGTGTTAGCTAAAAAAGTCAAAAAATTTGAACAGCCTCAGACCAATAATTTTTGACCCCCCTCCCCCCAGCCGGAATAGGGTTAAGTAAAAAATTGTACAAAACATCTTTTTAATAGAACTAAAGTTTTCCCTTTATTTAATATGTTCCACTTGTACGTTTAAGTAATTTGAATTCTTAGGGTCCCTGGACCAGCTCTCTCCTAGGAAGAACCCAGGGCCCCAATAATCTTTTTAACTCCTTGAAGTACAGTTAATTTTATTTTCAGGAGTTACAAGGTCTAAAAATTGTACCAGTAATTACGCATTCCCTGTATATGACTAGATTGTTTATTTACGAATTTAAATCATTGACAAATAATTTCTCGAATTTTAATACAAATCCGTGCTCATTTTTCCAAATTTTTATCTACTTATTAGCAATTATTGTTGTGCCAATATTTCTGTGTTGAAATGCACCAAAATTGAGAACAGACCTTTCAAAAATAATTTTTCATTGTACCTTAGAGAGTCGTAGGATTGTATCGGCATAATTCCAGGGATAATCGGCACAGTTATTCCTGAATTATAACTATTAATTACTACTTAACCGGGAGATTAAGGGAGGATAATTAAATTGAGGGGAAAACCACTTAGCCGAGGCCCTCCAAGACCTTTTTGGGGTTCTAAACCTCATGAGCNATATATTTGGTTAAAGGTACTGACAACGTAATATCAAGTGACATTCAACCCCTTCATATATTTGGTTAAAGGTACTGACAACGTAATATCAAGTGACATTCAACCCCTTCATATATTTGGTTAAAGGTACTGACAACGTAATATCAAGTGACATTCAACCCCTTCATATATTTGGTTAAAGGAACTGACAACCTAATATCAAGTGACACTCCCAATTAAACAGGTCCATGCTCTCACAACTGTAAAATTTATCTTAACAACAATAAGAAAGATATCATAGTAAATTCTGTCAGCTTCATTCTATGTCTCATTTATCTGCAGATCACTTTTATAGTTAAACCACAATTATCAGACAGATAGGAAAAACAAAGATATTTTTTAACAAATTTCGGACCCAGGTTTTCAAGGTTTAAACATTGTGAATCGGACATGTCCCTCTGTAAATTGAGGGTCCGTTGAAATTAAGCCGATAGTCCCTTTAATGCGCTAGGGCACATTCTGAGAAATCTTAAACTACAATATTTTCAGAAATTAGGATTATAATTCTTAAACCTGTCCACAACTTGAAACTTTATACTTTGAAAATAAAACTGTAAAAATAACTTCTGTCTTGAGAGTTTTATGCTTTAAATTTGTGCTTTTTTGTAAGTACATAAAAATCTTTAGTTGTGAGTTTCCTTTAAAGCAGGAAAGACAAAAAAAAATATAAATCGGGTTTGTCACTTTTTATTTTTAAATAAGAAACCCACAATCATAGCAGGACCCTATAAACCTTATTTTTCAAAAGTGATGATTTTTAATTATTGTGTTCTTGATGTTTAAGTGAATGGCGGTTCTGTGCAGCAAAAACAAGGAAGTGATTTTTTTTCATGGAAGAAAACTTCTTTCATGTAACAAAACTAAAGATTTAGAGGATACTGTTGTGAATCCGACATTCATAAATCTAGATTGTCACTAAAACTATGTCGACAAGTGATTAAATGTATCCTCAAATAATTGAACCAACTTTCTAATCATTGTTAGGTGGTGTTTCCTAAGGATTTTCAAAACTATTGTCTAGATCAACTTTTGATAAAAATATTTGAAACTTACCTTTTCCTTTAGGTGCAAAATATCATCTTCATAGCTCTCAGCTTCGGGATGCCCTAGAATAATAATANCGAGGTCACAAAGTAGTATCATTAAAATCGCATTAATTTGACCTTCTTCTTCTATCTAATTCGCAGTGATTTTAATTAAAGGTGAATATTTGTTTGAATTTTAACTAGAAAGATTCTCTTAAACAGAAATCACAAGTTTTGATATTAAAAATGAATAAACAAAATTTCATTCTGTATAAAAAGTAATTTTAAATGGGAAAACTGGAAGAAAGGGAAACTGCAGAAAATTCATTGAAAATATAAATCAACAATAAAAAAGTGGGAAATTAATTTAAACTATTTCTTCTATTTGTTTTCCTAAAATATTCCGCAGTCCCAGATTCTTAGCCTTCTGGAGATATCCAGTTATGTCGTCTTTACTTGACCCCACGCAGGTCATATGCAGCATTGATTCAACACCTGGAAAAATTCATTTTTACAAAAAGAATAAAAAGTCTATTCTTGATAATTTAAAACAACAAGAACTTAACTGCAGATTCCAGCATATAGACAGATATTATTATTATTATTATTATTATTTTCTACCTACATACTCTACAGCAGTATGAGCAATCATCATACTAGAGGTTTCCTCGTCCCCTGCAGGGTTTCCTGAAAATTAATTTTAATCAATTAATCAACTCTGGATTAAGTCTAAAAAAAGTCTTGACCTTGACCTTGCCTTAGACTTAAACTTAGAATTCAACCTTTTTCTAGAACTTGACCTCGACCTTTTGAAATTGAACTTTTCATTTTCTCTTATTCTTGACCTTTACCTTGAACTTTATATTGACCTTGACCTTGACTTAGACATTGACCTTGACTTTGAGCTTGACCTTGACCTTGACTTTGACTTTGAGCTTGACCTTGGACTTTTCTTTTATACTTTTCTTATCCTTGTATTTGACCTTGATCACCTGAATATTGACCTTGACCTTGATCTTGACCTTGAACTTTTCCTTTTTCTTATCCTTATCCTTGTCCTTGACCTTGACTACCTGAAACTTGGACCTGGACCAAGACCTTAACATTGACCTTGACCTTGACCTTTATATTGACATTGACCTTGACCTTGACTTCCGACCTGCTGGATGCCAGGTGACATCAATGAAAAGAGGATTCCCTATCCGCATTCGATCAAACCTGGACAATAGGTTTACAGCACCTGAACAACATTTAAAATGAAAATTCTAAATTAATTATCTATTAAAGTTTGAATTATATCATAAAGGATTTAAATATCCGTGGCATTTATCTGTAAAGGCTGTAGCTTAACATTAATCTGAGATATATTTGTCTGTTTTCAATAAACGTCAATACTGCTAAAAATATCGGTGAAAATTTATGGATAAAAATTAACTAGTCTGGTAAAATTAACGTGAAAAATATAAGATTTATAAATTTGTTTGCATGTTTGAAGAAAGATCTATTTTTTTGCATGCAAAATCTGGATAAATCCAGTTTTTATGCAACAATAAACCTGCTAAATGCACACGTAAAGAAAACTGTGGAATAAGTCTCCTCTTTTTTCTTTCTCTTAAAGGGACTGTCGGCGTAATTTAAAATGACTATCAGAGGCGTATCCAGGGAGGGGGGGGCTACAGGGCTAAGCCCCCCTCCCCCTGGACCAGTGAAATTATTGATTTAAGGTGGGTTTCAGGCCCCAATGGGTGTTGAGCCCCCCCCTGGAAAAAAAAATATTTAAGCCGCCCTGGACAAATTCCTCAATTCCTTGATGACTATATATCTTCTATAAATATATATATATACTTTGCTTGTCCGTCTGTCTGCTTGTCTGATTCTCTGTCCGTTTGTGTCCAATAATCGTCAAAACGGCTGAACAGATCGGGCCCAAACTTTATGTAGGACCTTACATCACATGACTCCAGAAAACATTTATGGATACTCAAAAGTACAAAATGTGTGTCCAAACATTATTGTAAAATTTTGAAAATGCGCGAAAAAATATTAAATCCGTAAACCTTATTTTGTTATTGTTTTATATTGTACAAAGAGAAGATACTTAGTATATATATATATGTATAGTTATGCACAATTTGCATGAGTATCTTTATAAACTGAGAATGATCAAGAATGGATGAGATAGCCATCCCTTAAAATTAACAATTTTCGGTAGAGGTTTCTTTAATAAGTGAATAGCAGAAATCTGTTTCAAAAATTAGAATCGAGGAGATTGTTAGAATATAATATTTTTTAGTGAGAACATCAAAGATATCTTCCATATTATTGATCAGGTAAAGTGTTTAAATGAAAGATCATTTGATATTACATTAACATGCACTTTAATGATAAAGTGTAACCAATTATGTTCAGTATCGTTAATTAACTTCGGGCCAGCCACTCAAAACAATCAAACTGTGATTGCTTATTTGTAATATTTCATGCTATGTAGTTGAATAAAAATATGAATAGGAATGAAAGTTTCGCTAAGGATTTTTTGTGCTCAAAATGATTGATAAAATTTCAGTATAAAAAGAAAGAACGAAAACGACAATCATTCCACAGGTTTCTGGTAAATACCGGTGTGAATAAGTTTACAAAATCAAGATGGCATATGTAAAGCCTGTTGCCTGTAAATAAACCATGCCGTCAGCGCGTGATATTTTGATGAATAATTTAGTGATAATTATCTAACCAAAATGTATGTAATTTTATGTATAAGGAAGACACTTCGAGAAATGCTCCGACTCAGAATTTCTTCCGGAATTTTGGTAGCTTAAAGGGACTCTACGCGTAATTTCAAGTGACCCTCCATACAAAGATAACAATGTATGATTTACAACGGTACCCTTGAAAGCTTTGTCTGATCAAGTATGAGTTAGATATCAATGTTTTCGTTTCTTTAAGCTTTATGTTTTCATTTGAGTTTTCTCTGTGAAAGTGATTTCCACATTTCTTGTTTATAAATACACTTAACTTGCGCGTACAGTCCCTTTAAGTCTCCGTACATACTTGAAATTATCTCTTCTTATATATCACTGCCATGCAGAGATAATATTGGCGAACCAGTTTCTAAACCTTTGTTTAGGATAAAATATAAAGGAAAGATATAATTTAGCTTGAGGGATGAAAAAGAACCTGTTCATTATTGGACGCCTAATTGCCAAGATGCAAAGAGACGATGAACTTTAAATAGGTATTTAGTGGGACTGTGATTTTCTATTTAAAAGTTTGGCAGTCCGATGTGCATTGTAACCCTAGCTGTAGGAAGATATATCATTCTTGAAAAAAAAATTATTCTGACGCATTATTGTCTCTGCACTGCATTAATCAGCCAGTCACTTAACAGAAAACCGCAATTAAAAATAATCATTTTTAAGATAGAAAACGAGGGATAATGCTTCTAGATTCTGTTGTGCCGTCTATACATGAATGGTAACTTGAAAGTACGTCTACAGTCCCTTCAGATTGTCGATGAAAACTTTGGGAGTAATTTTCCGCCTTTTCTTAGAATCAATCATGTTTTAGATGTTTAAGTAAATGTTGAGATTATCAAGTTTCTTGTTGAAATTGACCTCAATTCCTTGTATTTTCAAATTTCACATTTTTAAGTAGTATAAAGTTTTTCGAACAAACTCGAAGAAACGATAGTTTGCTTTGCTGAACGAGAAGGAAATGAACCAAAATTCTGAAAACTAACGAATTAAATTTATTTTCTGAACAACTAAAAGAGCCGAATGAAATGGTTAGTTAACGAATGATGAGCAAAGGAGTTGAAAAACGTCTCTACTTGTGTATTTTTACACAACAAAAGGAAAAAATGAGATTATTAGATTTCTTGATGTAATTGACCTCAATTCTTTCCATGTTAAAATGAAACTGTACAGAATGAATACGGTTTGAACGTTTCCTTATGTACATGAATCCCTGCAAATGTAAACTTTAAGTACATAAAAGACTCTATTATACATTTAATATCATAAGAGTTGCAGGTCGTCTCTACAGTCTCAATCTTTGTGAGTAACACTGTAGAAAACGTGACCCTCTATTATATTGACGTTTTTGCAAATTTTTAAGAAATCGAAAGGTGCATGGCGGACCTGATTTTGTTCTCGGCGGGAAGAATTCCAGAGAGAAAAATTTATCCTTTGATTCAATTCTAGCCTAGAAAGCAAAAATATTTTAAAAAAATTAGATAGAGATTAAAATTCACAGAAATAATTCTATTGAACGTTAAAGATTTACGGAGTACGAAATTTACAGTGCAATTCAAACTAAGGTCAAAACTTTTGAAAATCCCTGGATTTATTTATCCAACATCCAAAGGATTAAATGATCTATTTTTAAATATCCTGTGGTTGAAACCCTTAACCCATGGCATGGATAACAATAATTGAGGGATCAAGAATATTTTACTGAAATTAAAATTTAAAAGTTGTCACATTGAATATCAAGCTTCAGCGTTTCTATTTCTCTCAAAAGTTTTATCTCTTTGACGTAATCTCACGGGAATCTTCAATTTAAAAAAATGTCATGTCCGATTCACAAACCTTAAAGCCTCTATCTACGTTATACAGTGACAAAAATATCCTAGTTTTTCCATTTTGAAACTTATTTAATTCTGATAATTTCATTTACTTTCTGCACCAAAAATCTGCGAGTTATTTTTGTACAGTGAATCCCAGATACAGAGCGTCCCATACCATATTAGTTTATCTCCAATCTTTAACGTCAAAATACGCACATAATACTTGAAAAATCTAGCATTTTCTGCAAATAAAATTTCTATTTTCCTTTTTAAATTTTTCAGAAGGATTCTTTCTTATAAAATTTTCTGATTTGTCCCCCAAATCGTAATTTAGACCCATTGACGCGGTCTAATTTGATGTGGGACACCCTGTATATGAATGCATAGCAAGAGTTTTGAATAATGTCGTATTATCATTTCATATTTAAGATCAAATGCCGCGGAAAACCGAGATTACCATATCAATAGCTGTCCTGCATAGTTCAGGGCTATTAATGGCTAGAAATAAAAAAAGCAGTTTCTTAAGAATTATCAAAAAACTTTTGACTCTACAATGATATATTTTCATAAATTTTATATTCAATCCTTTAAAGCTGCGAACATCTCAGCAGGTTTCTTTTTGTGCAGACCAATGGTAAGCATTACATCTGACATAAATTTTTAAATAAATTTCAGGATGAAATTTCATGGGTCTTGCTGTGTATTCTTATATGTGAGATGGGCTGTAGAGAAACCATAATTGATTTATTTTCCGAGAGAAAAGGGGGAATATCTTATTCACCTTTGATCAGCAACAGGTTTACAGGGTAAGGTTTTGAATCGGACCAGCTTCTTTTTAAATGGAAATTCACTGTTTACCATCCCTGTTTTCCATCCCTGTTTTCCTTAGCTGTTTTCCATCCCTGTTTTCCATCCCTGTTTTCCATCCCTGTTTTCCATCCCTGTTTTCCATCCCTGTTTTCCATCCCTGTTTTCAAAACATTTAAAATGCTAACCTTTATCTTCTCTATGAGTGTTGCCTCGAAGGAACTGTACATGGTAGGGGAGGGAGGTCGTGAACTGCTGGGGGTTGTTGAAGGTGAATCTGAGGGGGTGGATAAATTATTTAACCAGGCGTATCCCCTCTCCTCACGGGGAGTCTGAAAAAAATAAATTTTATTTGAAAAATCAAATATTTTAAGTGAAAAAGTCTGGAAAGAAATCCATAGGGGGGGCTAAAGCCGCATAGCCCCACCCCCGGGAGCAGTGAAATCTGTGATTTTCAGGGGTGCTGAGTCCCCCCTGGACCAAAAAATGTAAACCTCTCCTTCCACGTATTATCGGAAATCCCTTAAAAGTAGATCCAATCTAATTGTGATATTTTTTCCCGCAGCTCTTACTTAAATCAAATTAATTGACAACTTGCTCTACAGTTTTGATTGGCTCCCGGATTTTCTCAAAAAAAAAATCAGGATATTTCCAAAATATTTTTTTTCAACTGAAATAAAAATAAAATTGTAATCAACTTTATATTTTGACTTTATATTTGATCTAGAAATAGCCATTGAAATAAGACAATTACACAAACGTTTCATATAATTAACTATAACACTATTATTTTTGCACGACGTGCTATAAAGTTAAATTTTTTCAATATCCCGAAGGTTCTCGCGTTCTAGATAAATAGAAAATTTCTGTCCATAAGTGTTTTAATAGTTATTATTGTTTCTAAAGCTACAAAAAGGTGACATAATTAAAATTTCAGACAAAAACGAAAAAATATTAATAAATAAAATTTATTGAAAAAAAAGTTTTACCTCGTCAATAACGGGAATACCATCCTGTATCTAAAACAAGGGTTGAACTACAAAAACAAACATAACACAAAAATCGTCAAAATCGAAATCAATTTCGTTGAAACCAAATCTGCATTGTGAAATCTTAAATTTGAAAAAATCAATTTTTAAATTTTTTTAATTTAATTTCGATTTTTACGGAAACATACAGTGAAACCTTTAATAACGAACACATCGAAAGAATTGATCAAATGTCGTATTCTTCACTTTCTGGATATTGGAATGTTGCAGATATTTAATTTTTTAATTAAATGATTATATGGAACGCTTTAAAACTGTTCCCGAATATTCATGGCTATTTATTTATTTTCGCAAATACTGAAATTTACTTAATATAGTATGTATTCTTTATTAAGGGTTTCACTGTAAAAAAACATGAAAAGAGGAAACGGCAAAGTAAAAATCCTAAAGTAGAATGTTGCAAAAATAAAGGCAGAGAGATGATTTTTAGTGACTAAACATCATAGTTAGTAAAATATTCAGATGTTTAATTTTACAAGAACTTACAAAAGTATGAAGTTTATTAACAGTAAGAATGATTTTATGACGAACGAATTAATTTTTTAAAAATGTTATTTTTTCTGAGTTAAGTTTAGAGTTTAAAAGTCAGAAATCTATATAATAAAACAAGACATTCGTATATATGTTCCCTAAAGCCGGCCAAACAGTTGGACCGAATGGGCTGAAATTTTTTGTGGACACTCATGAGTAGCCTTGGGGTGACAAAGGCTAATTTTTTTTCTTTCAAATTCTTTTTTCCACGGGCAACTTCAGTCCAGCTTTAGTTTTAAATAAAATAAAAGGAACTCAATTTACAAAATCTCATGGTTATCTCTTAAACCTTTCATTAAAGGTACTGTAAACGTAATTCAAAGTACCCTCCCTGTACAGATATTCACAACGGTTCTCTTGAAACCTTCACTTTTACAGAGAAACCACCAATGAAAAAATAATCAGTTTTCAAATTTCAAAACATGAATATTTATTTCATTAGTTTAGTGCAGCCGAAGCTCTCAAGAGTACTGTTGTGAATCGGACTTGAAATTACGTTTACAGTAGTTTTAATAACCCCCCCCCCCTTGTTAAAAATCGCACATACCGAAAAATTCTCACGCATCACGTGTACGGGACTCATTTCAAATCTGAAATATGGGAAATGTAAAAAGTTTATTATGTGTAATTTATAAAGATTGTTTGATCGAACAGAATTCATGGTTTGAAATATCAAGACACACAACATCAAGTTGCTGAGATATATAGATTAGAAAAACCATAACTCAGTTCCTTTATGTATGATGATGATCCACATTGTTTTGATAATATATTTAGGTCTTTAGCGAGATTCAAAACAAAAACATATTTTCTCTAAAAACCTATTTCTAGCCCTAGCTGACCCCGTGAAACTGAAGTTAATTGCACATAAGATTGAAATCTTAAATATTTTAATATTAACACCTTTCATTGAATTATTAATGTGCAATCAAATAAAATTGCTCTCCTACTTATGTGTAGAATAAAATCCAAAGATGTTACGATAGCACAAAGTCGCATAAGTAATAGTAAATTTGATCTTCTCCTACTGTTCACTGTGAGAGGGTATCATGAGTTTTGTGTAGAGTGTAGAGTGTAGAGTGCAGAGTGCAGAGTGCAGAGTGTAGAGTGTAGAGTGTAGAGTGTAGAGTGTAGAGTGTAGAGTGTAGAGTGTAGAGTGTAGAGTGTAGAGTGTAGAGTGTAGAGTGTGTATGTATACTGTAAAGGCTTACAGCTAGCGGTTCAGATGTCAGCTGAACATTTATATCAACTCATAAAGTAAAGTTCAAGTTACAACTTACAATTAGATTAAAACCTTACATTTTTAAATTATAGATACATCTTTGGAACAAGAAGAAGAATTTTTTTTGTATTTTTTAATATTTCGCACAAAAGAACTAAGTCAAACTCAAATTTTCGAATCACCATATCTTTGCAACCTTGAAATATCTTATCTAAGGTCTACGACATTTGGTTGCAAAGAATTATTTCTTTATTGATTAAAGAAGGTATTGTAAATAATATGATATTTTACTTTGTAAAAAAGTAAAATATTATATTTATAAAACTTAAACTTAACGAAAAGGTTCAGATTTAGGGTTTAGGTTTAGGGTTAATAATAATAATAACAATAACAATAACAATAACAATAACAATAATAATAACAATAATAATAACAATAATAACAATAATAACAAT